GGCAAGGAACAATGTTTCGGGAGAGGGGGGTCCATTTCCAAGATATCGAGTTGTATTGGGATTTAGTTAAAGGAGAAAAGTATTTTATCTGTGTACGTGGATAGTTATTCTGGAGGATTCGTAATTCGTATCATTCGTGAAGTTTATCTAGAGAAGTTTATTTAAGTGAAATATATGTTAATAATCTTATCATCGGAGTAACATTACATTTCCTATCATTTGATTATACAAAAATAAAACGTTTGATGAAAGAAATTTAAATAAATAAATAAATAAAAGTTACGTGCAAATATTTCTTTTAACTCGTGTAAAAGAGAAATTTTTTACCAATTTTTTTCATTTATTATTTTTCATTCAAATAAAAAGGAAGTCACGTTCAGATAAACGAATTCAATTAACACAAGATCGTATAATTGTACATTAAAGATTTCATTCCAATAAATAGAGTTCTACGTTATAGTGGCGTGTTATAGTGATCCAAGGATACACGAGAAATATGATTTAGAAGAACCTTCACCAAACTTTCACTTTTTTTATGCGCGATAGAATGTAGAACAGTTTCTAATTTTTCTTTCGCCTAGAATATTAATTCCCTTCGGATTATAGTAATTAAGATTAAAAAGCTAGACTTTTTTCGTTTATCATTATAGATCACGCGTAATTACATGCTTTCAAACTCTGCCGAAGTTAGTTTCGAACAACGTGTCCCCTTGAAACTGTCGAAGCACAATCTCGCATCGTTGTCGTTCTCGATGTTAGGGATATTTGGGACCGAAAACTCTAAGGGTGACAAGAGTCGACGCATAGTGCTCAAGTTTCTTAACTATGATCAACTATGCAAGACTGTACGCCATTACTACGTACAGTTTGAGACTCTTTGTGCCCCGTCTACAATCTATCTTCCTCTATGACAGACCAGATAGTCTCCGATAATTCTGCGAATATTTTGTATTTTTAAAAAAAAAATAGACATTTTGCAGTTATTTATCTTCTGTAGAAAATTTTTAAGCATAGTTTTTGTAATTTTTTTTATAGATTATGTTTGGCTTATAATATTTTTCACTTATTGAAAAATAAATTTTCCCTCAATAGCGAGGAAATTATTCGTAAAATACGAAGATAAATTGCGAAATAGCGAACGGTATCTAAAAGTATTTGAACGATTTGCTCGATATTTCGCGGGGCAAGAGATTGCATCAGTGTAAGATTTCATTGAGATCGGCCACCCTCTTTTGAAGAATGTGCTTTAGGCAGGCCAAGATACGGTACGAGGGGTTGTAGCGAAATAATCGATATCTCAATCTCATATAATGGGTAAATATTTTAAAGCCGAATTTCGTGATAGAACATTCTGCACATCTATCCAACCTATAAAAATTATAATCATCAAAATTGTCTATCGTCAAAACACCTCTCTCTGCATTTAATTCAATTCATTGTTTCAAATAAATGACGCGTTGTCGATCCATCGATGATTATTTTTCCCAATGTACAACGTTCCCCTCCGTGTTTTACTCGTTTTACAACAAGGCGTGAAATAAACAATAATCGATGGAGAATTTCGGGCTCGCAACACGAGCTTGCATATGGTGGAGACAGATGCGTTAAACCGAGCCCACTCTTCTCTTTTTCTGGCCAGTTTCGAGCTGTGCGAAACTAAACGTTATTCTTCGGCTGAGTGTCGAATTTCGTTGAACACGGTCCTTTTTTTTTTTTCTGCGCGCGCGCGCACCAATGTCACACGACACCCATGGAAACCGCCCAAAACATAATCCACAACGCGTCCCACCCTTGTAATTAGGGTGATACTTTCATAAAAGGTATTGGGATAAGGTGTACCGCAAATACTATTACCGTGAGCGTTATTAGAGGTCTGAAGTTACCCCTAAATAGGCGGTTGGATCTTGGTGTTGCGTTACTTTATAGAGGCGTTGAAGAACGCGACGGGAGATTTGTTTGGGATATATAAATTTTTAAATTATATACACTTCTTTTCGAACGATTAAATTATTAACAGATAAACTGATGATGCTAAAGAGATTATAGTAAATAATCGTATTGTAATAACTAATAAATGAGCGAGTTTAAAGAAAGGAATTGTAGATAATGGACACGAATAATGTAGCAGAGATAATCGAGATGATTGAACGATTAAATGAAAAAATTCTCTTCTCTTGCAACATTTCAGAGAGACGATCTCTACTATTGTACAAATTGGAAAGAAAGGAAATACCAATTTCTAAACTCGTCACAAATTCGACCTCAACAAGACCTACACGTCCCTATCTTCTTTCAACAACTCTTTCGCTCAAATAGACCCATCACTTCCTCCTTTAAGCCACTCCTAATCCCCGTGAACTACCGTTCACTGGCCAATACTTATCCAAACACAATCTCGGGAATAAATTCTCCACGCCACAGAATACATTGGAAATAGACCGACTCCACTCACGACTCTACTCACCAGGCCACGCTCGTACTCACGATTCCCGCTACAGCAAACAAATTCTCTCTCGCGCCTCTTCAAACAAAAAGCCCGGTGCAGGTACACTTAACCCGTACTCGTGATCCGCATGATTCCGACCGTGTTCACCTTATGGGCAAACCAAAAAAAGAAGGAAATCCTATCTCTTACAAGAGTCCAAGAACTGTCAAGAACAAGAAAATCGATTACTCCCAACCGATTTTCAGAAAAATCGATTCGAGAATCGGGAACGAAATTCGTATCGTTCTTCTTCGAAATCCACGTCCTTCCTGTCGACTTCCTTCCCCCTCCCTCGAGGGAGGTCCCGATCCTCTCCCGAGTCGAGAGACTCGCTCGTTTCTTTCGAGTCGAGTTAATACCTGAGCACACCACTCCACCCATTACACCAGGCACGCAGAAACCGTGGCGAATGCAAATGTCGCGCAAATGTCTGTCCCGGACTCATCCTCGTCGCATCTCTCTCTCTCCATCTCTGCGGGATCAACGATCGCAATCACCGATGTCACGGGCCGACTTATTGGCCGTCTAATAGATCGATAGGCCGCCCATTATTATTACTCGGCCTGATCCTCGATCCGGCCAGCGGCTCGTCCTACAAATAACACGCCTCGCGCCTTTTCTAATGAGCCGGCCGGATGTGCGCGTGACCGGATCTTTCGATTTCGACGAGGCGGCAATTCTCGGGGATCTCGAGGCAACCGATAACAAAATTTCTCTAGGTAAGGGGTATGACGTTAGGTGTACGACGAGATTAAGGAACGCGTGATCTCGTTTTTCGGGTAATTAGGGAGGAGTTAAGGAGTTTTTATTGGATTATTGGTTAGGTTTGATTAAAGATTGGATATAAGGAGCGTTTATAGGAGGTTTAATAAGATTGTAGGAGTGGATCAGGGTTGAGGAAGAAGATTTTGGTAAGTAAGTTTCCGGTAAAATTCTAATTCTGATCGATAATTTTTTTGAAAGTGTATATAGTTTGTTTGATATCGTGTTACTTGTCAAATTGTATTTCTTCGATTTTAAGATATTCTATTCTATTTCTCGTTCCATTCAATTCTATTTTTAATTTTTTTTTCAATTCAGGTTGATTACGAAGAATTAATCTTGAACGGGCACGTTTTTGAATTTTTATTGTCGAAGTGGAGTAAAATATCAGAATTTAAAAAAAACAACGTCGTATATATATATATATATAATTTACCATAACGTTATTTAATATTCATTATGTATAAATTGCGAAATCGAAGAAAATTTTAATTAACCGAAGTTAATTTATGACTCTAACATGGAATAATAAATGTTATAGTCAATTAGATGGAATATTGAAAAGGTAATGCGCGTAGCAGTCGTTTAATAAAATGTGAACCTCTGACTCTGATTATATCAATTTTCTATGATGACATCAATCTTTGATTTTTTTTTTAAGTGTAAAAAAAAAAAAGAAAAAAAAGGTATAATAATTATCATAAGCAAATAGCGTTTGTAAATGACTATTTACCGCAAAATCATAATGGATGAAATTACGAAAAGCGATAAAAATCATCGCATAGTACGTTAATGATCTATTAATAACACATTATCACATTTTACTCTAAAGGAAATTCATATTTTATTAATATTTTATTATTATTTTATATTTCATTAAACAGTGATTCCTTTATAATATATTTAAGTGAGGAATTTCAATTTGAATCTCAGTCAGACAAAGTGAGATATCGCTCTTTTTTACTGTTTCGTATCTTTTATCCCTTAAAAAAAAAAAAAAAAAAATAATATATTGCAAGTTATATAACATCAAAGGTATTGAATTTCATGTACATTGGAAAATCATAATACTGTATTATTTATGTATTTTTACAATGAATTTAAAATAAGACGCATACGAAATTATTATTTTCCAATGATTTTTTAAATATACATTCGTTAATTATAAACATCGAATCATTCATCATAAGTTCATATATTACAAATAAGAAATTGAAAATTTCATTTCTGAATCTCGATCCCCATTTTCTCAAGTCACAACCTTTTATTCCTTTCATTCCCTTCGATATATTAGTTAAATAACTTTTAAATTTCTATAAACCGACAGAAGATACATATAACAAGATTTATAATTATACATCGATCCATCCAATCAATTGAAGAACAGAACCACGTCATAATTTCACGTTAAGTATTGATAAAACAATTTAAAACTAGCACAGAAGAAGAAACTATCAACTCTTCTCAAATATCACTTTGAAAACATAAAATAACATTTCTCTTACTCTTAAAAAAAAAAAAAAAGAAATTCGAAAACGATGTTAAAAATCACCCGAAAAATATAAAAACTCTTCTCAATCAAATATCACTTTGAAAACATAAAATAACATTTCTCTTACTCTTAAAAAAAAAAAAAAAAGAAATTCGAAAACGATGTTAAAAATCACCCGAAAAATATTGAAAAGTCCAAGTTCTCGCGAGAGCAGAGAAGGGGTTAAAACGTAACCAATAACTCATCGAGGCAATTACTCACCACATGGATACCCTCCGCGTCCCTCCTAAGGTCGCCGCTCCTTTGGCCAGCCGTGACAGCGGCGCTCAAGTGATTATAGTGATGTTGATGCAACGTGTTGAGCGTCTGCGTGTACGGATCGCCGACGAGGTAATCGAGATGTTGCGGCTGGCCGAGGCCCGGATGTTGAGGACTCGCCGGCGCGTGGTGGTGCGAGGGGAACGGGGGTGGAAAGTACGGTGGTTGAAAGTCGGAGGCGGTGGGCAACGACGCGCCACCGTGATGGGGCATCCCGCTTCCGTTTCCATTGCCTCTGTGACCGTGGTGATGGGCGCCTGAATACGGCGACGAGTTTCCACCGCCCAGCGAGGAAATGCCCCCGTGACCAGTTAAACGGTCCTGTTTCAAAACAAAAATTTCTCCGTTAATCAAAGGGAGAGAATTTCATTTCTCTCGTTCTTTGCTCTTTGGGGGGAAGAATTTGTTGAAAAAAGGGTGAGATGAAATATTAATCTCACGAGGGAAAATTATCTGACATTATTCTTACGGTAGGATAATACGCAGTTATGGATGTCAAATTTTTTTTTTTACCGTGGGAAGGAAATCTTTTCTGGTGGAGTGGGGTGAGTTGTTCGATCTTCCAAGTTTGAAATCTGGGTTATAAGTTTTATACAGTGGAAAATGATCAAAATATTTTGAATATCTTTAAGTAAAAGGTATCTTCATTTTTGAGATTGTGTATTACTTGAAATTTTCTTTTTTTTTCACACAAAGCATTCGTAAAAGCCTTTGTACTCAAAAGTAATTGAATTCTTTGTAGCTTCGTGGAAAAGTTTCTTTTTCCACGAAAGTTTCAAGCTATCCTTACTTTCATCCATCCATGTGCATCAACAGCGTACAATGAACACGGAGAAAGATTTAAAAAAAAAAAGAAAAAAGAAGAAGAAGAAAGAGAAATGGGAACCAAACCAGTTCATGCATTATACTTATTTTATATAGCACCCAGTGACAAGGCTCAGACTTCGTTGCATTGTTTCATATAGTCAACATTACGACTCGCATAATTTTCCAATGATTCCAATTCAAGATACCATCTACGTTATTTCTAATGCTACAATCCTACTTTCTTTAAAATCTATCGAATTTTGATTTATACATACGTGTATATACGACGTTAAGAAAAGAAGCATGTAAAAAGTAAAAAAGTAATAATAACCATAATAAAATCGAGCAGGGAAACGCACTCGCCGACGCATGTTCGTACTCGTTGTCGAGCGCAACTTTCGCCGCTATTAAAAAATTGCTGGCCATAATTACGGTGACTAATGTATGCCGGTTTCAAGGGGGAGAGAGAGAGAGAGAGAGAGAAAAAAAAAAGAAAAGAAAAGAAGAAAAAAATCGTATCAGCTTCGTTGCAAGTCTGCCATTACAATAAAGTATACAGGGCAGTGGCGTTTAATCGCGAAAGGTGGTGAACGTAAACACGTAGAGTAAATACCATGCAAATTTTTTGACGAGCAACGAGTAACGCAAATAGCTCAAGGGTAGAACGTAGATCCATGCCATAGATCTTTGCCGTGAAAATCGAATATTAAAGTCGAAACGAGGGATACCGATCCCCGAAGCTCCCGATAACCCGATAAAATGTTATTATTAGAAATGATAAGCGACCGGGAGGAAACTCGCTACTGGATCACGGCCCGTTACCCCTTTCAAGTCGTTCATAAATCCATCGTAATTTTCCTCATTTTCTCTTGCAATCTTCGATGGTTTATCGTACGTCGAGCGATAACTGATGAGACGGATGAGAAGATTTATTATTCGAAATTCTGCGAACGACGGCAAGTGGAATGGAAAGTGATAGGTTTTTAAAATACAACGGGGGGAAAAAGTAGAAAAAGAGAACGAAAAAAAAAAAAAAAAAAGAAAGTTTTCGTAATTGTTCGAGCGTGTTTTTTCGACATTTCTCATTCGGAAATTTTAATTTAATTGATTTATCTTTATCTTGATCGCGCGAATTTTATTGGTCTAATGATTACGATCTCGCTTTCTCGAATATTTGAATTTTGCAAGAATTTTTTTCAAACTTTTTGAAAGAATTCCACGACGATGAATCGAAAAAAAATGACTCGAAGAATTTATAATTTTCGAGATTAATTTTTTTGAAATTAATGCACGTTAAGTTGACAGTTAAGCAATTGATATGTCTGAAGTGATAATTTATTTATTCGGAATTTTTCTTTTATTCCTCAATGCAAAATTTGCATGAAAAATACATCGTGCTATGTTTAAAAGTAATTTATTCTTATTAACTTTCAGTTCCAAAGAAGTTTTTGATTGAAAAATGATCCACTTAACGGAATAAATTTCAGGTTTCATGAAATTAGTTTTCATTGCATATTTTAATATCTCTTTTTCTTTCTTGTTTTTCCTCTCGATGGAATATACTTCTACCGAAATTAATACGATAAGAAGGATAATTTTAAAAGTAGAAGGATAATAGAAAGATACAAGCTTTTTTGTAAAAATAGAATAAAATTATAATGCTCGAGCATTGTTGTAGAAAGTTTTCTACAATCACTTCACATCACCATTAAACGAATTTGAAATTTTTATGATGAAATAATTATCGTTTGCTTTCGATTATTAATTTCTAACCACTTTAACAACAAAATTAAATCAGAACATTGTCTTATATCGAATATCGTTCCCGATATTTTCGTTAAAAATGATTTTTCAATTTTTGTCCATTATATAGTACCATTAAAAAAGTTTCGATAATATCTTTGTAATAAAATTCTATTAGTTCAGTACTATATCGGAATTTTTACGAACTATCGATTGTATAATAATTAGAGATTGCAAGATCATCAGAAATAAATCGGCGCGATTAAAACACGTTTCACCTTTAAAATATTGATAATGAGAATAAATGAAAATAAATGTATGAGTAATTGAAAGAAAAACGAAAGAGAAAATCATCTGAATCAAATGAGAAATAATTTCAAAAATATTACGAAATATCTAAAATTTATCAAAAATTCTTAATGTTTAATTTAGAATAAAGAAAATTTCTTTTTGAATAAAAATTATCTATTCTCCTTATCAATGAAAATTATTTTCATTTCAAGATATTTTTGAAATAATAAAATTTTGGAATTCAAGTAAAAATCGGATAACACGAAGCGAACGAGATTGATTTCCAAGGTTCTCGAAATTTTTCGCGCGATGAAAACGGGACTTAATCTGGTCCACGCGATCTCCCGATGGAACGATTACGCGGTATTACTCAAGTAGATAGTATCGGCCAGTGATTTATCTGAATATCGGCAGAAAGGTTTTGTATCGACACTATACCTGTGCAAGCCATTAGGTTTCTGTTCCCGTGATACGATCTCGAACATCTTTATAAGCCGCGAAAGGGCCAGCGTGTACCTTCTCCTCCCCCCCCCCCCTATTCATGCTCTATCCACGAATGTCACTCGTTGCTTCCAATTAGGCAAAGCAATTTTATTGATCAAGCTTCAAGATGAATCGAATGAATTTTTAATTCGTGATATAATGATCATTCTTTATTATATTCTCACTTATGAAGAAAGTTACTTACCGTTTATTTTCAAATTCTCTCGAACTTGCAATAATTAATTATCTAAGTCTCTAAGTCCAATAAATTTTATTATAAAATTTCTTTATGGGATATGTTAATTCGTTTTCAATCACAAGTCGAAACTTCTGTTTCATCAATGACTCTCTCAATTCGAATCATTCAATTGTTCGCGAAAAAAAGAATTCTTTTATTATTCAATTTCAATTATTTAACGAACAATTCATCGTTTAAACGATGCATAACCACGAATTTCAACTTTAATCGCGCTTCAGTTTTTTAGCTTTTAATAAAAAAAAATTTATCACATTCTGAATTACGTATTCATTGCTTTCACCGATACTTAAATCAATTTAAAATAAATTTGAACCGCGAGCAAAAACTTTTTTCTCGTCAATTTCTCGCCGTTCAGAACCTTCTTCAGAAGGGCTTCGGGCCGGTTGGAGGTCAAACGACGAGCATCACCCGTGGCAGGGTGTAAAATCGCGACGCAACAGGAGGAAGAATTCGATTATGGAGAAGGCAGTCCATAACGGAGTTTAACGACGGTAGGCCGAAAATTGGGCGGAAAGGCCCGTTATAGAAGGGAACTCTCGCTTGGCCAAACACACGCTTGCCGCTGCTTCTAATCTAAACCCGATAGATAAACGTTTTCAAACGAGACAAAAATTCAACTTTGTCAACTTTCCAAAACGAAATTGATGTTATTTCGAAATGGAAATTCCCCGTGCACGGTTTTATTCCGTACGAAATATTTTGTCGTCGTTTAACGAGCTTCGTCGTTACGGATCCAAGAGTACCGTTTTCTTCCTCAAAGGGAGCCCATCAAGGCGTATTTCAATTTGCAGTAATGTTTGTTGCTCGGCCATTATTATAGGTCCAACTTTCACGTGTCGAAAATGGACACGCGCCTCCAATTTCTCGTGTAAGTTGAACGCCGCGCATGAATTTATCTTTTTCTCAAATTTAAATATCTCTGAATTAAAATTGTTAAATTTGTCAATGAGCAATTTGTTAAATGATTGTCAATCGTCGAGTAATTGGCAATTTCGAAAATAATACACGTGTTACGAATTAATATGCGAATACATTGTATCCTAAATAATCTTTTTTTTTTTTTCCTTTGTATTCTCCGATCAGACATAAAATCAGAAACTAATTGAATTCACGCGAAGAATTATCCCTTTCCTCTTTTTACGATCCACTGTTTAAACATTATTACAAAAACCATTTAGAGAAACACGCGAAGGCCGTAATTTGATAATGAATTGAATTTATTACTACGGTATATACATATATATATATATATACAAATTAGAACGAACAAAGAAGCGAATATTTACACGTCAGACCAAACAGCCGTTTCTCGTTGGAAGAGCGGAAAAGAGCGGTAATTAGAGAGGGTAGGACGACGATGCTAATAAGCTTAAAGAAAATATTATCGCAACGGCGATAATATTTCATTAATTCATTATTCGAGTAATTATGCAAGATCCAACTTACACGATTAATAATTAATTAGAATTCCGATTCGGATCGAATGTCCTTCATGAAATCGTAAAAAAATCATTCGCCTATCCGTATTTCTAAACCGTTGCAAAAGATTGATCGAGGCGAGGAAAGTAATTTAACTATGCGCGAAAAAAAAGAAAAAAGAAAAAGAGGAGACGAGAGAAAAAAAAGAAAAAAAGAGAGAGAGAGAGGTTTAATAACGAGCTCGATCAAAACGATCTGACACGATACACGCATAAAATTTCGGGTGGAGAGCAAGCTGCAAATGGCCGATTCATTTCAC